AGATCGTAGTAAGTTAGGTGGCCGCCTATAAGCGGAAGGAAGTCTTATCTGAGAAGTTCTGACTGTATTGATGTTACAATAAAAATATCGATCTTGTCTAAGCAGTCTCTTACTGGAGGATGTCGAGTTCACCTACGAAAGGTTGTGGCACAAAGAGCTTCCATAAGTTTTTTTTTTCTCTATGAATAGTTACAGGCTCCGCTAAAAATTGACTGCGTTGACACAAGAGAAGATCAAGATACGACACCACTTCCTTCCAAAAAGATTGAGATTTCAAGTGAAGGCCCTGTTAAGTTATTTTTAGATTTCAGTTGTATTATCCTTGGATAGTCGTCCATTAGTTGCTCTAGTGAGCCAAGCTCTCGACGCAATACGGGTATTTAGGTTGGTACTTATGGATTTTCAAAAGCTGAAAGTGATTCATTAAAACAAATTGAAAAACTGACAAAAAAGATCATATGAATGTGGTTTCTATTAGCTCAATCCTTCTTGGTTTACCATTCTCACCTTCTGGATTGTAACTCAAGGTACCGCACAAACACATAGCAACAACAACGTACAGCAACATTTTCCCAGCGTTGTGAAATGGGCCTAGATCAGAAAGTGTTCACTTTATATCTAATTGGCATACGCGGAATCTGTCTTATTACTGCTAGAACAGCAAGCAGGGAATGACGTCTTTGAGATCCAACTGGTCAAGCTGAAAAAGCGGGGGCCCTTCTGTATCAATAACACGCGCGTGCTCTTTATCAAAGAATGGTGAGTCTATTTGAAAATAATGTGACAGAGGAACCTCTGTATGTGCACTTCTGTATTTACAAAGACATGATTTTTGTTAACATTGGAAGAAAATTACACAGCGAGGGTAGCCGCGCCTTAAGTCGTTTCATAACAGCACTAGTTCCATTTTTCTTTCCGTTTTATCCCCTCACGTTGCAAACCATTTTTAAAACACACGACACCCTCGACATAACTGTCTCTAACACTATACAGGACCTTCGTATATGAATTTGATAATGAGCCGAAGGTTCGGGCTTTCACCATATGATAAACAGCTCCTTGAAAGTCACTGGTGTAAAATCTGACCGTGAATCCCGAAGGTCTGAGGTTCTCGAGGTGGTCTTTAACACCCTACTGCTGTTTTTATATAGTTAGCTTCCCCACTCTATTTCTTTTAGTTTCTCTCTTTTTCAAATCTTCATCTAGGCTCCATTCCACTTGCAACCAATTGTAACCGAGAAAGATTTGAGGAACAGCAGAAATGTCGGTGATTACTGGGATCCGATATCACACAGGTGGCGGCTAATCGCTGCCTCGTGCCCGTCGGGTGATTCGCTTTCAAAATAAGTCACTCATTGGGTTCGTTTTCAAGCTGGAATCGTAGTTTATGAATTATATAATTATATGCCACCTTTTGTGGATGCAAATTGTGTCCATCTTAGCGCGGTGCATCTTCAGTCGCTTTGTTCTTTTATAATGAGCCTAGAAAATACATTCAAAATTAGTTTATTAGAGTCTTGGACCTCTCCTTTTTTCCTCACTATTTTCACAAAAGACAGCAGTAATCTCGATTATTTTTTTCTCAACTTTATTAAGTTATAAAAGGTATACGTTTCATATTATAGCGAAATACATCTGTATGCTTTGAAGCTACTCGAAGTATTTTACAACTGCATAATTTTATCAAGCTGCTCTGGGTTAAATACAGCTTTTCTTCGGAGAGGGAAACAGTAGCTACTTGAAATGTTCAGAATGCAAACATCATTCTATGAAAATACAACCGGGTGTCGGACTGTAGCTTTTCTTATAGAAGAATCGGCTTAAAATTTCGCTAAAATTAGCTGGGGTTCCATTGATTAAGATCGCGTGATGTGCTGCTTAGAACCATCTGGTTTGACTAAAAGGCGTCCGTGTGTTGGACATCGAACTTCTGGTTTTTGTTCCTTTTTCTTTGGCGCAAAAATATCGTTCTTAGCCTGTTTTATGATCATGTAGCAGAGGACAACGTAGATGATGAAGTTAATGAGGTAGATAATGTAGTCAATATGGATTTCCATCGCCTGGAATGGAACAAAAGAAAGTAACTAAGTTCTCACTAAGCTTCTTAGTCATACGTTAAAACTCTCTATGGCGTCACCTAAAAACTAGAACCATTACAACTTAGAAGAGCGAAGGAAGCGAACATCATTTGTATTTTCGATCGATAAATTTACCCACCTTTAAACCTTCACACAGTTGCAATACTCCTGGAGAAATTAAGACGAGAGTCGACAGGCAATCTATAATTCAAAACTTTAAGCTCAATGTTGGATTATTTTTACAAGTTAAAAACAATATTCCAAATTTATCCTCCCCTCAGCCCTACTATATTAGCGTTTTATAATACTCGTGCACTTGAAGTTAAAAAAAAAAAATCTACCAATGAGGAGGGTAAACGGTTGTAAATGTTTACTCATTTGTGGAGGTTTTGGAGGCATTATTTTCTGATGAAGACGGTATTAATGTTTGATTTGCAGCAGAAAAAATTAAAGTTTGTGGAAAATTCCAAATGAGCAGGTGAACCATTTTACTCTGCCTCATTTAGGAATAACTTGTTGGGGAATCTTTGAAATTAGCCACTTTGGTCAATGCACCAACTAGTTAATGGAAGCGGATAGTCAAAAATCTTATTCAAATATTCAGTTTCAGTCGAAAAAAACGATGAAAATAAAAGTAGCTATTTGGAGGTTATTTCATAAAAAAGAGAAAACAACTTAAACTAGTTAACATGTTTTTTTTTTGGCGGAGTTAAGTAAGCAGCAAGTTAGGACTGATAAGGAAATCCATCGACTTTTGCGAAAATCGTTCCCGACGTTTCATAAAATTTTATCTGCGCTTGACAATTACTGCGATTGACGAAGAAAAATTTTAAAATACGAATAGCGTGCCTTGCAGTTCGCCATCTGGATTCACAAAATAAAACAGGATCAATTTACTTTTTCTTTCTTTTTCTCTTTTCTGTCTCCATCTATATGGGCCGCGGTACCTTTTCAAAACTTGTTTTCAAGAAAATAGAAGGCCTTCAGAAATATGCCCTGAAATGACAAAAGTACTGCTGCCATAGAAGTATAGAGTGCGGTGTTCCTCTCTTTTGTAAACATATAAGTGAACATGTGTTAAAGACAGGCAAGTCAAGTTCTATTGAGAAAGTCTTGAAGCTTAGACGACGTGATGATTGTGGCTAGGAAAACACTGTTTTGAACGCCAAAGGAAAGACAGAATTCAGGTTTCTAAATTTCATAAAGAACGATGCTGTTCATAGGTCACAAGGCTAAATATATAATGCCAAGCAAACTCTAAACTGCGCAAGCAATATTTTTCGCTTCGAAACTTGAGATAAGAGGGGGGGAGTGGGTGGGTAAGACACTGCTCTCCCCACAATTTTTTTTGAAAGTAGAGAGGACTACAGCCTTCCTTTCCACACGCCTGGTCCGTCGCCCAATAACGTTTCAGTGAAAATACACGCGTTTCAACTTATCGATAAACCGGCTTGTATTTTCTATTTAACTGAATCAGGAAAATCTCAATGACCTATTCTTTCACGGTAAAAGTTTTGAATGAAGTGAATCAAAGGGTTTGTCCTCAGCTGACATTTAATCGTTGATCGTACTCCTATGTTTTGCTATGCCTTAGTAAGCAATAACTTCTTTCACGTTGACGGATCAGATCTTGGGAACCGAAGATTTTCGCTTCACCGCTGGCTTCTTTGGGTAATATGATCGGTAAATATCTTTCACCATCGGCCAGCATTCTCGGTACAAGAAAACTCCAGCTATAGTGTAGACCACCACGATGAATGCAACCATAACACGAACGTGTAAATCTACCTCCTCTTTTGAATCTGGAGATGGCATCGTTTGAGCCTGTTGTCGCACACTGGTGTGGCAGAACTCAGTAGCTGTGAATAACGAGAGAAGAAAACTCCGCAAGTCACCTCCGTTCCCAGATGCTCTGCAAGGACAGGAGTGTATCTAAGTTTTTGGCGCGTCTTTAGTATGGAAGGCCAACGTTCAATAACAAGGAAAATTTGTTTTCCTCCAGAATTCTTATTAGTGATCTCAGATTTATTTTGCGGACGCAG